TCATATATATATATATATATATATATATATATATATATATATATATATATATAAACTCCAAAATGCTAAGTGAATGGTATAGTGATGAGTTAGCTAGTGCAACTCATTCACGATAATAATAAAAAGAAAGAAAAACAAAAAATAAAGTATTAATAAAGTATAAAACAAAATAGCAATATAAAATAGCAATACTCCTTATTGCCAATACACAATTGCACATCGTCAACGCCACTTAATTACTAATTTGCCAAGTAATGCTGTTACATATCCATGAGGACAATCAAACGGATCGAGTGAAGCTTCTAATTGACAAAAACGATTCACTGTACTGGAGATGCGATAAATCGGTGCTGCCTGAGATAAGTTAGATTTAGCAATAGGTATATACATTGTTGCTTGACTTCTTATGCCTAAGACTGGTATCTTAAATTTAAACAAAGATAGCAATTGAGGACAGTCCACCAAGTTATTAAACATATAATTATTATATTAAACATATAATTAAAATAAATATCATCATATCGACAAAATGATAAATTTATTAAATAAACTATGATCCATAACAATTATGTAAAAACAGTAAAAAAATATACATAATCAAACAAAACACCGAAATAAATATTTATCTTACATTATTGTGACCCTTTTCATTAAACATGTATGTAAATAAACTTATATAAATTATGACGGTGATACCCATCCACCAAATGATTTTTCTAGTTCTTGTGCTACGGCAATGCATAAGTGGTCATTATAAGGAGCAGCAACAACCTAATTGTTAAAAATTACTTTAATAAGAATATTCATTTTTTAATCAACAACCAATAAAATAAAAATTATTCACCTGTACTCCAACCGGCAAACCGTCGTCACCCAAGCCAAGTGGTATTTGACAAGTGGGTAATTTCAAAACATTGAACAAGGCCCAGTAACTAAAGTTATAAGGTCTAAAAAAATATGAATAATGATAGCTTGCTGCAAAAGGAGATGAAGGAAATAAAAGTACTCCGTCTTCGCCAAGTTTATCCTAAAAAAATAAATATTAAATAAATAAATTTATTACTTAATATAATAGTTAATAGTATATATATACTGTTAAAAAAAGAAGCAGTTATTTTTCAAAATTTTTTCGAAGTAAATTTCCGAGAAGATAATTTTACATTTTTAATACTAAGGTAGAAGACCCAGTTATTGATACTGGCCTGGTTCTTTGACACTTGCAATTTTATTCTAATTAAAAAAATAAAATGTTCTCAAAAAAATAATTAGCTTGAAATTTATTATTCAAAAATTATATTTATTAATTTATTACTGTTGATTTGTTTTTTTTTTTTTAATTAAAATAAAATTGCGTCAATAGCTGGATCTTTTACCTTATGTCTGGTAAAAAAATTTTCCATTTTTATAAATTACAATTGGTAATAATGATAAATGGACGTCATGTAATTTTACAAACAGCTATGTTAAGATACAGAAGACGGTTTAAATTAAAAATCTTATTTTATCTACTAAAATTTCTCAAATGTGTATTAGAATTAATACCAGAAAAATTTTCTTAAAATTACAGTAAAATTTTGTAATTTTAGTCAACGAAAGTTAGAATTTTTTTTTTTTTTATTAAGTCCGATATTTTATTTTAGCGTGTTTTCGTCTTTTAAGGTAGTTGTCATGGTACAATATTGTCAAAAAATTAGAGATGATACGAGCCGCCAAAGTATATGAGCTTGTAGCTAAATACTCCATAATTTTTACGCAAGACTGTACCCGTGGAGACGCAATCCATACAATTATTTTTGTCCGACTCCGTAGATATATACTTTTTCATAAATTGTTGAATTTTAATCCGTTATTTATAAATAATTAGACGTCAAAAATTTTTTTTTAAACTCACAACAAATACATTAAAAGACTGTCAGTTTTTTGAAAGTTTCTGACAGTTAGTTTTTTTATTATAACTAAGAAACTGGTACAGACTGCAGAGAGCGTATATGCAATCAATGTTAAATATCCAATTTTTAGTTGAATTCATCTCGGGTTATAGGTATTCAATCGACTTCAAATTTTTAGGGTAATTGTATCATAATGTCCTTAATAAGTATACAAAAATTTTTAATTTTCTAACGGTATATCTTATTAACCACGAAAATTACCTTAAGGGGGAACACCACTGTGACGATCGAAAAAAAGAGGTGATTTTCGGGGATTTGTTTGGCAGGGAAAATACAGGAATTTGAGGATCGGATTTTTTTATGTTATTAAGGGTACATAAAAGATTATTTCCCTAAATTTTTATTAAAAAATATTTAATTATTACAAAGTTATTAACAATCTCGTAAAGCAGCAGAAAAAATTTCTCCCTCCATGGTCGGTTCGATAACTCAAAAACGGATCATCTGATAATAAAAACCTAAATTGCTTTTTAATCAGTAAGGATGTAGTTATCGTCGCACATACGGAATTTTGAAAATTTTAATTTAAAAAAAAATCGCGACTGATTGAAAATTTTCTCACTATTCTTACTGTTTCTTTTGTTTTAACCCTGCTAAAAAAATCTTTGAAATTAAAATTTTCAAAATTCCGTACGTGCGACAATAACTACATC